TGTAAAATGTCTACGGCAGCATGTCTTTTACGAATTACTTACAAAAACGGTACGTGAACGACAGCTATAATTTATAAAGCTGAGGTTGCTTGCAATACTATTATAAGAGCTCTGTCTGTCTGTCCCGCTTTAGCTCCGAAACTACTGAACTGATTTAAATGAAATTTGACACAGAGCCTGAGAAAGGCCATAATTACTTTTAAATGCCAAAAAAGGGGTTGATAGGAGTTGAAAAAGGGATTGATTCCCTTTTCAACTCCTATCAACTATCCTGTTGTATGGAAATTCGTGGTATTTGAAGCTAGAACAATGAAACTTTCTTCTTTGGGAAGAGGAGTGAGGGGTGGGAGTGGGAGTGGGAGTGGGAGTGAGATTGAGAATGGGAGTTAGAGCAGGAGTGATGTAAGTTTAGAGTGTTGCGGCTAAGTAGCACTTACAGCATAGATTCACTGCCTTTAATTCGCCGTAAATGAATAAACAGCCTAAATCAGGGGTTCCCAAAGTTGACTGGGCTACGACTCATATGAAATAAGTTTACAAACTCGGGACCCACCTGTAGGAAATTTAAGCATTAGCAATATGAATAAAGGACTTTTGAAATAACAAACTATTTTAATACAATCTTTTATTACTTAATTATATAAATTTAATGCGAAGGATGAAATTGTTTCCTATGTTTTGCCATTACAGTTTTGACATCTACTTCAACTTTTGTTACTTTTAATCGCAGTGAGTTTGATAAGTCCAATTTATTTCGGTATTTAGTTTTAATGTTCACCATATTCGAAAACCCAGCCTCACATAAGTATGAGGTAGTAAAGGGGAGGAGGACTTTCATAGCTTCATCAAACAGGCATGGATAACTACCAGCAACCGAGAGCCAGAATTTCGTTAATGGCTTACGATTGAAACTATTTTTTTGTGACGAATCTTCTGATAAATCAATTAGCTCTTCACTTGCTTTTGTTGACATACCAGTTGGTAGGGGGTCTTGAAATGGGTTACAAATCCATTTCAACAAGTCGAGCTTTTGCATCTCCTCGCCGAAATAGTCGTCAAAGTTTTTTTTGGCAATGATAAATGGACAGTAATTGCAAATACTACGTTCATCTTTAGCTGCACTTGGTTTTCAAAAATAAACGTTTCAAGTGTTTCAAAACAATCGTACTTCCCATCCTCAATACAACTGTTCCACAGCAAAAGCTTTTTCATAAACGCCCGAATTTTATCGTGAACCGCAAAAATGTCTGACCCGTTTGAACCTTGCAAATACAAATTGAGTTCATTTAACTTCGAAAAAATATCCGCTAGATATGTGAGCTTGAGAATAAATTCTTCGTCCATAGATGTTTAGTATATTCAGTTTTTCCTTCCAAGTAAATTAGAACTTCGTGGCGTAATTCCACTAATCGTGTCAGTACTTTTCCCCTGGATAACCAACGAACTTCTGTATGCAACAGGAGAGATGTATGAAGACTATCCATTTTTTCACACAGCTTTTGAAATAAGCGAGCTTGCAAGGGTCTTGTTTTAATATAATTAACAATTTTAACGGCTGTATTTAGAACAGTTTTGAAATCATCAGGCAATGCTTGGGAAACCAGTGCTTCTCTATGAAGGCTACAGTGTGTCCACGAAGCATAGGGACTTTGTTCAAGAATTCTTGTAACCACGCTGCTATTTTTCCCGCACATTGCCCGCGCACCGTCAGTACATATACCGACGCAGTTCTTCCACTGTATACCTTTTCCTTTTATATGGGAATCAATTACGTTGAAAATTACCTCAGCTGTTCCACGAGTAATTGGCTTGCAAAACAAAATGTCTTCATGCACGTCTTCTTGCCATATATAACGCACAAAAACAATTAATTGAGATAGGCCTTGCACGTCTGTAGACTCATCTAGTCATCTAGGGCCCACTCAATATTTGCTCGCGACCCACCAGTGGGTCGCGACCCATAGTTTGGGAAACCCTGGCCTAAATCATTAAAAATTCGATCCCAAGTCACTATTCCACGCGGACGAAGTCGCGGGCACAGCTAGTAACAAATAATTTTATGATGCCCAAAATAACTATTTTACCAGGATAAAGCCTTCAAAAACTAACCGTCCTTATCCTTCGACAATATCAAGTTTTGTATAAAATTAAAATATGTTCTTTATTAAACTCCTCTTACGTGAGATAAATTATAAGCAGTGCGCCCTAATATAAATTCTTTCATTAACGACATTCTAGTCCAGTATCCTGCTGATAGGACGGCAGCAGACAAATTGGATATGACGTCATTTGTCATGGCACGCGTTCCTTAAGGTAGAAATGTGGATAAATTATTTCTGTACATTAGTGGGGTGATTTGAATATAAATTATTATTACCTTAATTTGTCTATCGTTTCAAGCTATGAAAGGGATTCTCTCATAAGATATATCTCTTACCACGCTGTTCCAGAAGGGTGTATCTCTTGTTTCTAAACCACAGGCAGATTCTAGAAATTCCTTAACGTTTACTAGACATTACATTCGGACCGGGACTCAAACCTTGGACCTCGTGTTCTGCAGTCGAATGACGAGTCTAAACCGTATGATTTATATTATCTATACTAATATGTAAAGCTGAAGAGTTTGTTTGTATGTATGTTTGAACGCGCTAATCTCAGGAATTACACATTCAAATTTAAAAATTATTTTTGTGTGGGTTAGGGGATATATTGAGAAAGGCTATAGGATATAAAATATCGCCCTGTGCCTAATTCAAGCGAAGAAACAGCTAGAATTGTAAAAAAAAATTGGAAAGTTTTCATCATTATGGGTTCCCGAGGCGTACGCTGCAAAAACGGTTAAAGGTACCCAAAAATATGTATGAGAGGATGATTTCTCTTTCAATGATCTAAAAGGTGTTCCTTTTTCAATAAGTGCAAGAACACGGGAAGGACGAACCGACGTCGTGGGCAACAGCTTAAATAACTATTCTACGCAGACGAAGTCGCTGACACAGCTAGTATTTCATATATATTAAGTGTGTAATAGGTAAGGCTTGTAACAAAATAAATCAGTATTATACTGGACCTCATATGACGACCCTGTCATAAAACATGGACATGGATCGAAACAAAACTCACTTATGTACCTCCTCGAAAGATTTACATAAATATCATATAAATTATAATAATAATATTAATCTGCTTTTATTTAAAGGTACTAATCCTATTAATTATTCATAAATTACTATCGATACAAATTAGTTTTACACAACTATAATATGAGGGTCGTTAAAAGCCGCCAGGACTATATAATAAAACAAAACAACATGAGATATTTAATTCTTATCGTTGATTTAATTAGGAGGGCTTTTACATCGCCGCCCCGTGGTTTTGTTTCGTCTTTACTGTAAATTATTGTAAGGCTTTTATTATTAAGATTTATTGGTATTCTCATTTGAAATCTAATTAAGTGCCTATCTATACTAATATAAAATGCTGAAGGGTTTGTTTGTTTGAACGCGCTAATCTCGGGAAACGCAAAAAGATAATATATTTATTTTTTGCCTTAGTTAGAGCATTTATCGAGGAAGGCTATATGCTACAAAACATCGCGATACAATTGCGGGAAATGCGAAATAAAAACAGGACGGGATGCGACCGACGTCGTGGGCAATAACTTAAATCAATAAAGGTGAAGAGGTCCAAAATAACTATTCTACGCGGACGAAGTCGCTGACACAGCTAGTATTATAGAATTTATATAATGTTTTTGTTGGACCCTGATGGGGAACTATGGACCACACCCTACACACGTTAGACAAAAAAATATTGTGAACGGAACTAATCGTTTTACATCGAGTGATAACACCCGTTATTATTTAAAATTAGATAATGCCTTATCTATGAAATTATAATAATATTACTATTTATAACCCAGTTAACAGATCCCCGAGCATCGTAAATAATTATCCGAAAATAAAGCTTTTTTAAAGCACATGATAGTAGACAGTGAGCAGTTATTTTATGCTAAACAATTTTGCACACTGCGGGATTCGAACCTGTACGCTACGGTTGCACAGCGTAACATGATATTGCTGTATCATTTGAGCTATCATGTCAACTATTTTCAATGCAGGAGACGCGATGAACAAAACTGTTAGAAAAATCTCAACTTCCAAGACACGGTAACTTAATTGGGATCACACAATAGCGCAATTTCGGGACCCGAATTGTGCCTTTTTATATAGCTTTCGTTGAGCTTAACGCTATAAACTAATTACGGTTTAAAGCTATATTTATATTCTGATTCTGATAACTTAATTTTCAGTGACACGTCTGCTGCAAAATATTTGATATTTTTCCAAAAAAAAAATTGTTTAAAACAAAAATTAGTTTCTATTTGTAGCAGCTAATGGTTATTTTTATATTGTTTTAGGACCAATAGCTTAGTTGCGAACAGTACACTACCGCCACCTGTAATAACAGTTCGTGTTACTCGGCAGGCTAGTCAAGAGTGTGCCGGTGTACCTAGGAGGTACCACGAATGTAATACGGAGGTAAGTTCGATCATTTTTTAGTTCATCGTAACGTTAGATAACACGTTACGGCGACTGTCTGACTCAGATTTCGAAATAAACCGCGTTGGACTTTTAAAGTCATTTTAAAATTGTTTAATCGGGCCTAAATGTATGATATTAGCCTTTCTCTATCTAGTCTAGTACTAGAGGTTCTAGGTTCGAATGTCAAGGAAGCAAGCATAATTGACATATGTGACTCACAGGGAAAAGCGGCATTTTATTTTTTACGAATAACAATCTTTTGGTGTTAATAATTTCACTCTTAGTGGGGGGGACAATGCATTTAAACGCCAAATGTAAATAATATTTTTGGACATTTTTTTATTGTTGTGGAAGTTTACAAAAACGGTTATTACCTTATTTTCTAGTAAGTGTGTCAGCGACTTCGTCCGTGAAAAATCAATATTTTGAAAATCCATGTTTGTTTTTGCAAAGCTCATCTTCAAAATAAACTTAAGCTGTTAATAACATCGTCGGCGCATCCAGTCGTTCTTCCAAGTTAATCACAAGATAAACAAATAACGTCGCAGACTCATTCTAGATCACTTAAAGAGGAATAATTTTTTTAATACATATTTTTTTGGTATCTTGAACCGTTTTCGCAGTATACACTTGATGAAATTGTTTTACATTGCACACTGATTTTTCGCTCCTATTAGTTACAGAGCGATATTTTAGCCCATAGCCTCCCTCGATTATTGCAAAAAAAATATATTTTTCAATTCATAAACAGTAGTCCCTAAGATTAGCGCGTACAAGCAAAATAACAAACTCTTCAGATTTATCTATTAGTATAGATTAAACTGATTTTCTATTCCTCGAACCTTTAGCGGTAACTTAGCTAAGCACCTATTTAATTTTTTTTAACGTCATTAGGGTGTTCTATATTTCCATCAAACTACAACTACAGCGTTTCAATACTCTCTCAATGCTTTAGTTGTTGGTTTGTTCCCACTTCTGATGTAAAGTACGCCTCGTAAAAACTCTAATTACCATTGTTAACTAAACTCCGTCTCATTGAACCTGAATGAGCAATAAAACTTTTAATGTTGTTTAAATCCTGTATTGCTTTGTCTTTACATCCGCATGATTCAACTAGTAATAAATTTTCTCATCTATACTGATATCATAAAGCTGAAGGGTTTCTTTAAAGGCTCTAATCATAAACTACTGGCCTTAATTGGAAAAAAAAATGAATAGACCATCTAGGAAGGCTTTAAGCTGTATAATGAAGTAGTGAAGAAATGGTGGCAAATGGGGGAAAGAAACGGGAAAAAATTATTTGTCTGTAAAGGCTTTCTTTGCGTCCGTTTCGAAAACGGGTTTAAAAGCCAAAAAATATGTATGAAAGAATGATTCCTCTTTACATGATCCAAGAAATGTCCGCAACAGTTTGTGTTTACCTTATAAGATTAATTCGTGATAACCGTTTTTATAGAAATTAAGTTTGGTCGAAGTTCATGTATTATTTATTGCTAATTAATTATTAGAGTAGTTGATCAGATCACGAACTTTTGTGCCCTGCCTGACCGAAACCAATTAATGTTTACGAATACGAAGCAAGGACCTCTCGTGCTTAGCGCAATATTAGGCAACACGTTTTAGCTACTTAAGCGGATTCGATCGACTCCTAGTATTATTTATGAAAATATGCTGACAATTTAATTTTTTAAGTAAAATAATTTATTATTTATGTAAAACATTCCCTCTCATGCTTGCTTCCTATGTGGCATAGTCCCGGAATTCCCAATATTTCAAATTATTATCGTAAATAATATAGCTTATAAATAAACGGATCGGATGCGGATGCTTTGAAGCATTCGTGGTCGCGGGCAGACGGGCTGCTGCGAAGCATCCGAAATATCGGGCCTTAGTTAAAATAATTGTTTAATAATGTTGACTAATATATATTGCGTTTTAAACCGTTAAAGTGTTTTATGTAAATGTGTACTACTTGCGTAACTACAGACAGTATTTTATTATTATAGCTATTACCTGTATAATTCTAGCCGTGCCATCAAGGAAGTCGGGATCCAAGGTCCGAACAATGTTCTTCTTATGATAGGAGACCCTTTCGGGGCAGATTCTATACCTGGGTACCCTATATTGACGGTGAGTTTACTAAACCTTATTATAATATAAATAAAGGATTAGAAAAATGCTTTGTCACACTAAGTTGGTGCATTCGATTGAAGATCAAGTGCTCTGTTAATCGAGCCGGATCTTCAATGCATTTTCTTAAATTGTAGTGCCATGAGATATAGAACTCCGTAAATCCACGTTCAAGCATTTTGGTTGAAATTGTAAAGTATGAGACATTGCACTTTATCAAGAAGTTCTAAAAATTCGATGAAAATGTGTTGGACTTGGTAGCTCAATTGGTTAGATGTACGAACGTTGGAACGCTAAGGGCTTCCTCCAGGTTCAAGTCTTGTCCATGTGCTAAAATTGTTTCAATCTTAAATCAATTTCTTATTTACCCTACTAGTAACCCTTATTCATCGTGCTATTAATATTTCTTCAATAAAAATGATCTAGCTATGATACCTATAATTACCATTAAAGATGCATGTCCAGTGTGATAAATGAAGCTACATCGTTGGATAATTATAAATTACTATCAGCTACAGATTATTTGTAATGGATGGTCTGTGTAATGTGATCTTGATTAAGTCTTCATTATTTCCTTGTGGAGAAGTAATGGTAGATGTAGAATTTGCAATAGTTGAAGTTGCTCCTGCCTGTTTACCAACAGTGGTCTTAAATCATTTACGCTTGAGTCAGGTATGCTTAAAAAGGTTTGTTGACAGGTGACGCACCATGCATGCTGAACTGCAGACCTGTTGGACACCACTTCTACGCTTCTCTTGCCCTTGTAGCTGATGGTACTCCGTGCACGTTGCAAGGATATAGAGCTATTTGCGTACAGGGTTCATGTAAGGTAAGACTCTAATATTTGAATCAACAGACATTGTTGGTCATACGTCTGTTTTTCTTAATGGCAAAATATGTGGTGGGTCGTTTTTTACAAAAATGGGTATGTAATACCGCCTCGGTTGCCTATAGGTGATGGTTGTGAATTAGCAGACTTGTATCCTGTACTGATATACTGATGTTTATTGATAGGTTTTGAACAATATTAGTTGGTGACACAAAAATCTATAACTTAAAAAAAGGATTGCATTACATCATACATATTGAAGTATAACTAATATATTAAGACCCATATAAGTAATACTTCTAAGTATTTTTCTTGCTTTTTAAAATCTGCTACAGTAGCATTATTCAAAAAAATTACTTTTATAATTTAGCTCTTCTCCCAAATTGGAACCCAAAAACAAAACAGTACACATTACTATTTTTTTTCATAAACAAAACGCGATATACTTTAGATCATTTTTATTATGTCTTAAGTCGACCACAGAACAGTACGATCATATCTAATATTATATTAAAGGTATTATTATAATAAGATTAAATTACGTAAACCACAATCTTGCGCGTTATTCGCTTTAGCTAAACACACGTTCGTATTTTGCTTTACAAATCAATTCTTATGATTTATTACTTTAGACTCTTAAACTAAGAATTATGGACGCAATCCTTTCATTAGATTTTGTTATATTTTGACAATGCGTAGTTTCGTAAATCAAGTTTTGACTCAGAATCATATTTAAGCAAACTATTAAACAGATGTGCCAGTTATATATAAATCATGATCATCAAAATGAGACCATTTTCATTATTATTATTCTCGTCATCATCATCTTAACAGTCCCACCGCTGGGCTTCCAACAAGCTAATCCCTTTATCAACATTACTAGTCAAATATTATGACAATATAGGTTGTAGAATATGATTCTAGAACTCACCTAACCACGCTTAAGAATGGACGCATAAATATTTTGATCTCCACGTGCTCATTGGTCTAATGGTGATAATGTATGGCTATGACCAACGGGTCGTTGGTTCAATTTCCACCAGGTTCAACATCTTGGTCTTCCAAAAAAATCTGGATATTAAATGGGTGGTAGAAATCGAAATTTCGTCTGAGTCACGAAATGTCCATAGATGTAAAGTTTGTGTTCGTTTGTGGTTTTTAGAATATACAAAGCCAAAATAGGACGATAGTGCGTCTCAACTAATCCTAATTCCATCATTTTAACCCTGTGCTTGTTTGTCTTCCTCTAATATTAAGAAATCTATGTTAATCTGTGGTATTAATATACCACACATTTATTGTATACCATTAATGGGACTTGAATGACAACCCTTCGCAATCACCCAGTTGACAGTATTTGACCCTGTCAGTGTTATGTTGCTGGACACGTCTTAACGAATTTATTAGTTACCTTGTGTCTTATTTACATATTCTTGGAAGAAGTTAATTGTTTTCAGCGTAAACTGTGCGTCAATTGGCAGCTCTATTGATTCTAGAACGACTATACTTATTACGAGCAGTTTCTAGTTCACAAACAAAGGGATAAAAGTGTTTTAAAGCTATTAGAGGTTTAAAAATCGAAAATAAATTGTATAGTGCCTTCATGCACAATAACATGTAAAAAATAATAAAGTTTTCAAACCTATTAGAGGTTTCTTCGTGAGATGATTCAAAGAAGATGGTGGATATATCTTAATTATATCGCTAAGTAATCAAACTGAAACTAGAAATTCTGTTTCACACTCATATTTTCTTCTGTGGCTTCTGCTGTATAACATTTTAATAGTTTTGTCTATATCCACTTGCATTACTATGTGTTCCTTCAATACAGGGCCCAATAGCTGTAGTTTAGTTTTCATCAGGTACAATTTGCCGGTCGAAATCATTTCCAAATTTTCTATAATAGAAAAAAGGTAATAAAAAATATCTAGAACCACGGTTCACACATCGCGAAGTGTAGTTTGGCGTTTCTGTTTCTGTCTTTTGATTTCCAAATGTCAATAGAGATCGCGAGCGTAACTTTGTCCGCATGTGTAGCCTATTGGTTAAACGTGCGTTCCGTTAAGTGCGAGTAATCTTGGTTTTGATACCCAGGGAAACAAGAGACTCTTTCGTCGGGGCAGGGCGTAGATGTCAGAACTACATGCAAAAGAACCGATCAATAAAACAGACATAGAAATGTACCCATGTCCGACAGAGAGAAACGGGATCTCTCTTTTTTTTATTTATTATTAAAAGTTTATTATTAACCTAATGAGTATGTTTATTTGAACGAGCTAATCTCAGGAACTATTCAAAACGGTTCTAGAAACCAATCCGCGATACCTATATCTCTATTTAAGATTAACTCGTAGGAACGATTGTAAGTAACAGCAAAATTTTTTTGATGCCCACAATAACTAGGTATTATATATACAAACGAAGTCGCGACCATAGGTAGTATATATTAAAGCCTGTACACGAATAAGATCGTTTACAGTTTCTCAATGACTAATACCTATCTGCATTAGGCACTTAGGACTTTGCATCTTAGTAGAATCGCTTTACTCGACAATTAGATTTATTAGTCAATTAATGCAAATTTATGCGCGCTCTTAATAGCGTACCGTTTATTGGTTTAACTAAAGTATCCGCCTTGAACAATATTTTGAATTCGACATCTGTTCTATTAGTTCTGCAATAAAACTGTATGAATCGATTAGGGTTAGTCCTCACGAACGAATACCAACGAGTATTGCAATACGTACAGTTCAAACATGTCTTTAATGCGCACTATATCATTCATTACATTGCTATATGCAATGTATATTACTAGCTTTAGACTTCTTGATGTTATTTTGGGCATCCAAATTCGTTTTTGCAAACGCCTTCATGCAAAGTTGTGACCCACGACGTCGGTCGCGTCCCGCCCTGTCGTTCTTGCAAGTTATTCTTAAAAGATTGACATATAGCGTCGCGGACATTTTTTAGATCATTGAAAGAGAGATCATCCTCTCATACATCTTTTTTGGGTATCTTGAACCGTTTTTGCAGCGTACGCCTCGGAAACCGATAATGATGAGTAATTTTCCCAATTTTTTTCACATGTACAAGCAAGATAGTACGACTTCTGTACCAAGCCTGACCGTAGTACAAATACAAATATTCTTTATTGTCACAAAACAAAAACAACAAAAAAAACATATATAAAAATTGATGGAAATTAGTGACAAACGGCGACTTTATAGCTATCTCTTCCAAGCAAGCGTGATAGAAATGAAACATTCAGTACATAATAAAAAAAGGATTGCATGACAGTAGAAAAAGTCTTAAACCTACTAAAACCAATAATAAACAATAATACAAAATGAGCTTAACTTAAAAATCATTAAATTACTTTCTTAACTTTATAATAAAATACTACTAAACTAAGTTACTTAATTAGGCATAAATAGTGTATTATGTAATAGTTAATTAGGCATAATTAATGTAGTAGTAATTTTCTTTCCGGATTCGAACCTGACCAAACCATTTACCGACAGAGGCGGTCGAATATTAATAACTTTAACAGCGTAATTATAGTTTTCCACCTTTTCAATATGGTAAGGTTCTTTGTATTGGTAGTTCAAAACAAAATATAAAATTATCTTAGAAACTTTAATATTTTTCAATATGCATATAATGGCATTATATCAATTAAAATACGAAGACAAGAACAAGATTTGTACCCGAATACGCAGCGTTCCTTGTCGCTCTAACCAATTGAGCTACCGTGTCCGTCCACGTCACGTCACGTCACGTACACGTCATCGTCGATTTTTCCAACCATTCGACCAATGTAATTTTAACGTTAAAAATATCGTTGTAGACAACCCCTAAGACAAATCAGTGTTCGCAACGTTGTCGCAAACCAAGGACAAGTAGGTCGTAATCGTTTGTATATTCTTATTGTTGTTTATTACGTGGTAATATTAGGTCTCATAACATTTCGCGATTCGCCTTTATAAAGCTTCGGAGCAATTTTACTGAGAGCTTTTATCTTATTGATATTGTTATCGCTTTATTTTCATGCTACATATATTTCAGCTTTCTAGAAATAATAATTCTATTCTCATAGGCGTAGGACCGCCTCTGTAGCAAATTGGTTAAACGTGGTGCTTATTATTGCATTAAGCGCGAGAGGTCCTGGTTTAGAATTCAGAGGAGACAATAGATTGTTTCGGTCGGGTAGGGCACAGCGTTTACATCAACTACTCGAAAATGAGTTAAACCAATTATTGGAACGGATACAGATGTGTTAAACATGTTTTAAACATAGGGTTTAAAACCATTCTATAGTGGCAATAGTAACAAACTATTAAAATATAAACCAGATATCTCACGATACAACATATAGCTTAGTGACGGAAAGATAAGAAGGATCTTTATAATACTCGTTTTACTATATCTGACCTAGAAGAGAAGAGACCATACCTAGAAAAGAAATATATTTATTAAATTTAAATAAATAAATATACAACTAAAAACTTTATTTTTTTTTAAATATATTATTGCATTTAAATTATTATAGAAAATAATAATCTATACACTTAGATTGAAAAAACATCACAGACTTAAACGGGCATCCACAGCGTTCCGTGTTGCTGGTCTAACCTATTAAGCTACTGAGTCACCGTAGCTCAAATGGGCACGGCACGGTGCCCGTATCGTATTTTATTTATAAGAGCATAGCATAATGGAAAATGTATAATAAATAAATGGATTTAATATATTAAAAGTACTTTTTAATACATATACAATTGCGACAAGAAAAAAGTATATACATCCTCGATTGAATTTTAGTACATGATCATTATTTTAATTGCTTCTTTTATTAGCTGTTATATTTTTTTCTATTTTCAATGGTGTAACCTAGAGTAATTCTCGGTGATCGTTGTGTTTATCATTATCAATTTGAAATCACTAATGAGCTTAACATCGTAAATTGAATAAAGCGCCACCTATGAACTCGTACCAAATAT